TGTATAGTATATATATATATATATATATATATATATAGAACTTAAGGAACCTTATTATAATTACATATTTTAAAAGTATAGCTATTTAATTTTGAAATTTTTATTTTATACAGAATGTTTTTCTTAAAATTTTATTTAAAAATTGTAACTCTTCACACACGCATAATGTTATTCTTTTAACAGTCTCATGAAATTATTATTTATCTTAGATTGAATAATGTATTTTGATATTAAAAAATTTGAATCAAATATTTCTTTGAAATTTTATATAAATTTATATGTTTTGATGTAATACATAAAATTATAACAATCTTAATTTTGACGTAAGACTATCGATAGTTTCATTGGAACCAGGACCTATACCAACAACTGTGACTGTACCAGGCTTCAGCTGAGTTATACCAGCATCTTTTATTATGGCAGTAATTAAACCAGCGCGTTCAGCTTTATCTGCTAAGATCAACAGCTCTTCCTCGTTTGGTATTTTAACAACAATTTTAGGCTGTCCACATCGTAACCAGGATTCAAACATTAATCGCTTCTTTTTATTGTTGAAGGTTTGGCGACAGCATTCTAAAGCAGCATGAGCACATTGAGCAGCAGTTTTACCTTTTCCCATAAATAAATCTGATCGAACCACTATTACCATCTTACAGCTCTCTCCATTCCAAGCAGGAGATAGGAAAGATTTTATATATTTACTTATCATTAACCTCATTTTTTATAATCTTTTTCAATCAAAGCACTATTAATGTCTTTGTTCTTGCTGCTTTGTGTGTTTATCCATGCATTCCTTAAACTTTTTTACTTCATTTTGACACTTTCTCCAATCCTGATGTTCTGCTATGCACTCCTGGAAAGTTATTTATCAAATCAGTTATTAAAATAAAAACATTAACATAATCAAAATATTTATTCTACAACAATCAATCATTGGAATTAATTTATATACTAAAAGTTAATTTATAACCTAAAGTTAACTCAGTGTTATACATTGTTCTTCTAGAACTGAAACTATAAGCAGTTAAACTTTAATTAAAACTGCTATATCCATTTCTATCAATGTAGTTTAATTTTAATCTTGGTTTAACTAATTCTTCATCTTTTTCTAGTTCTAAGAATTAAAAAAAGATGAAGAGTAAGTTGAACTAAGATTAAAATTAATTCACGGTAAAAACGAGCATTAGCCAGTTATAAGTAAACATACTTGGACTTGATAGTGTAATTCTATGCAACCGGTTTTCTTTAACATCTGCTCAACGGGATCTTCAATTTCTTTTTCAGCACCAGCATTCGACGATGCAATCATTACGATGTACCAATGTTTAAATGAAAAGAGATTTGAATTGTACCGCTGAAACAATTATTTTCATTAATAAAATATTATTTTTAACAATTTCAACGAAATACACATACATAAAATATTATAGAGGTTAATCACTCTGTGTGCGAACTATTTTTATTCGTTTACCGGGCCTGCAGATTCGAACAGATTTGAAAGCAATACTGAACAAACTCGAGTAAACTAACCTGGATTACATAAAAGATTGAGAGGAATCATTTTCTCGATTTTAAACATCAACATTCGTTACCACGACTGCAAATTCTCTAGCAAACACAACAATTCTGTTTCATTTCCATATTAAATTAACAATACCGATAATAGATAATTAAAAATGCCACAATTACATGAGTAACGTGCGTGTGATGTGCAACTTCAATGACGACATGAAGTTGTGCGCATATCGGGAAATCGATCTATTCTAAATATTCGCACGTCAGGACATGGTGGTTAATATTCGAGACACTTTTATTACTGTTAATTATTTTAATTATTTATTATTATTATTCATCGAAAATTGACGTGCTGAATTACGAAAACATCCCTAATTGTTTTTTCAACATTTTTACTCGAGGGCAATTAACGTTGCGTCATAACGCGCGAATATTTAGACAGAATTAAAGCACGTACCGATCCTCCTATACGTGCAATTTGTATTATTCATAATGTGGAAAGGACGAATATTTATTCGAAAAATGTTGCGCCACGCATTAAGGCTATAAAATTCGATTAAACTTCGATTAACTAATCGTTGATCCTTGTTAAGCAATTTTGTTAACGTAGATAGAGTTATTAGTTTTCTTATTTTTAATACATAGAAAACAAGAGTGGATTATGGCCAAAACCGAATTATATAATTAGAAATTTTTCTCTAAATATGGTATTGCCTATTGAATTAATTAACTGATTACAGTTCATTTGAATTTTTAAATTTGTATAAATTTAGCTGACAATAATTTCTTTACAAAAATGTTTATATTTCGTAAATTCATTTTACACTTAACATCTGCATACATAATTATTTTTACGCAATAGTCGACGTAAATAAGATTTTCGTATGAAATTATGAAACCATGAAACTTGATCGACGTATCGGCTAAGTTCACGCGAATAGATGCGACGATACGGCGATCGAGACGCCGCCGGCGCTTGACCGTCAGAACTATTCGATTGCGTGAAAGTAAAAAGCAACGCGTGTGACGGCTACGAGAGATCACGGAACGGCCAGCCACTCCCGATTTGCGTGATTTTCAGAGGTATTTATCGAAGGAAGGCACCGCCTTCGTCATCGCGCGTTCGTTCGAGCGGCCCGGGTGTAGCCTTATCTCCGCGCGAAACGTCCGACGATTCCCGTCGGCTACGACGCAGCGACGTGCGGCTTTTGCGGCATTCGCGCTATCCTCCGGGATAGCGCGCGGCACCGCCTTTCTCGATTACTCATATTACACTCCGCGACTATCTCCGGCGGCTCTGACCCGTCTTGCTCCGGCCAGTGTCGCTCGATAAACGCGACGATTCGGGCGCGGCGACTCCTTGCTATGGTTCTTACGTGTCTCGTAATTATTTATAATATACGTTCGCCTGTATATCGGAAACCTTCGCACGAATGAGATAACGAAAAGAAAAGGAACCGGAGTAAATTAAAGCGCAGTCACAATACGGGGATATACACCTTTTATAAAGTATCCTTCGAGTTTCTTTCGTTTTCTCCACGTGTCTTTTAGGTATTATTTCTCGTTTGATTCTTTCACGTGGGCGAAAATAGCGGTGAATCTTGAATAGGAATAGCATGTGTTGAGTGGTGGGCGTACAATTTATTTTGATTAAGTAAGTTTCCTGTTCTTCTTTTCTCTCTGTTTAATTCTGTCACTTCTGCTGTTTGACAGTAGCGTCTTCAGAATATTATATTTTCTTTCTTTCTCTTTCTGTGTAATATTACTTGCTGTAATACTAAAAGCAACTGTTAAATTTCTTATTTATGTCGTAGTATTAATTGCCTTGATTATTTTCTATACGTACAGAATATTTACATTTATTGAAAAATATTAATGAAGTGTAGAATATAATTTGTAGAAATATACAATACAAATACTAGAATAAATTTATAACTAAGGACAAATATTAGAAGTTTTCTGTTTTTTTGATATCCTCTGATATGTTAAATTATCTGTTTTAAATATAGACAATATGTCATAGATTTGTATGATGCACAATACATGAGAACACATACATGCATGAAACTATACTTAGTCTCTTAGATTTCTCACACTGACAACGTAATTCTCACATCCTGCCATTGTTACTTCTGCTCTGCTTTAATTAAGATAACCATCAGAAAGAAACCCCTATTTTGAGGAAGTGCAGAAGATGTATACACACAATTGTACAATTACAGTTTTGTTACAGTTATCATGTAACAGGAATTATAGATTTCTGCAAAAAAATAAAGCAATTAATAATAAATAAATATGAATAAATAATATCACAAGTACATTTATGTTTATAAAGTCTGAATATTGCAAGCGCAAAATTCTGTTACTGTACATTTTTAAGATACGACAAATATATTTAGTGACCACTTTATTTTAATTGAAGGTAATTATCTCAAAAATGTCGAAGAAGCCAGGAGCTACTCAAGCGATGCATAAGGTCATAATGGTTGGAAGTGGAGGTGTTGGAAAATCTGCTCTGACGTTACAATTCATGTATGATGAGGTAAATAAAAAACAAAATAACTAAAAAATGTGTGGTTTGAATACAAATGATGCCTGTTTATTATTATTCACTTAACAAAGAAATATGTGATTTTTACCATTTCAAGTATCTAATGATAAACATTATTCTACTTTAAGCATTTTATTTTTAAGTATTATTACATTAGAAAGATATTTTTCATAATATTAAAATCAGTTTGTTGAAGATTACGAACCTACGAAAGCAGATTCCTATAGAAAGAAAGTTGTACTAGATGGAGAAGAGGTACAAATAGATATCCTGGATACTGCAGGACAAGAAGATTATGCGGCGATTCGAGACAATTACTTTCGTAGTGGGGAAGGGTTTCTCTGTGTATTTTCGATAACAGAAGATGATAGCTTTCAAGCTACACAGGAATTTAGGTAAGTAAAATTTGATAAAATTAATCATTAGTTTTATTGGCGAAAACTTTAATGTACATATGATAATTTTATAACTCTAATTATAAATGTATTATTTGATTATTCCACATGAATAGAAAAAAACCTGTTTTCTTTTCTGTAGAGAACAAATTCTCAGGGTAAAAAATGATGAGAACATTCCATTTTTATTAGTGGGAAATAAAAGTGATTTACAAGAAAAAAGGAAGGTTAGTTTAGCTGAAGCTCAAGCAAGATCTCAACAATGGGGTGTTCCTTATGTGGAAACAAGTGCTAAAACAAAAGAAAATGTAGACAAGGTAAAATGCTAATTATGTATAATTTTTATTATTTAATTTTATTAAATGCTACATATGTATAATAAATATTTTATATATGTAATGTTTTCTTATATCAATATTGTCTTTACCTAAAAAAAATAACCAATATTACTTTTTGATTCTGACTTTTTCTCTATTTCGTTTTTAGTAAAATAAAAAATTTGTAGGAACTTTTTTATAGGCTTTGTGATAGTATTGTTAAATTAGGTGTTTTATTATAGATAACTTTTTTATAGGCTTTGCGGTAGTATTGTTAAATTAGATGTTTTACTATAGAACACTTTATCATTAAGCATATTCTACATACATACATACTTACATACATTCATTCATATTAATGTAATTAAATTATCAAAAATAGTAGATGCATTTACATATATATTTCTTGTTGCTTTCACTTTCACCCTCAATGTAATGTATCACATATGAATTGATTGCACGAAATATGCATTTTTAAATAGGCTTAATTGCAATCTGTGTATATTTATATACACATTGTTATATCACCATGTATTGTGCTATTGCTTATATGCGCACAATTCTCATTTTCTTCTCTTACATATATGAAAGATATAATGTTTATTTCATAATGCACATTTTATATGCCTTAAAGCTTTGAGACAGCATCCATTGCACATTTACAGGTATTTTTCGACTTGATGCGTGAAATAAGGTCACGCAAAATTGAAGATAAGTCAGCAAGCAATAGTCGAGGTAAAGACCGTACCAAGAGGAAGAAAAAGAAGTGCATTATTCTATAGGTTTGCTGTTTTTTCTTGCACCATATTTTATTTTGTGTTTTAACAAATTAATAGAACTGGTGGCATTTCCTGTCTTGGCAATTTTATAGCAAATTCGATTGCATAAACATATCTTTACATCTATTTATGTACGATTAGTATATACCAGCGCGCATTAGTGCGTCCAATCGAATTCGCTAATACTTTATATCAGTGTATAATATATAGGGAATGCCAATGGAGTGTATTTGCCTAATGCAAACGCTTTTCATACTCAACATTATAGATATGCAATGAAAATGTTTAGATAAGTTAATGTTGTGACTTTTTAAGAAAATATTAATAAATATTAATTACTTGAAAGATATTTTGTTGCATATCTCTGTTTTAACTCTGCTTTATATTCATATTTCAGATGTCCAAATTCTATATTTATTATAAAAGTCTAATATTTACAAAATAAATGTGAAATTATACACGTACCTGTAAAGCTTATCACAGCTTATGCAAAGCATGTATGCTTTTCTTTTTTTTAATTACATTGTGTTGCAATGTCTTGTTACATGTTATATAGGTGAACTATATTTTTTGTATTATAAATAATTAGTAATTAATTTTATAAGAAAAGAGAAAAGCATCAAATATTTTACTTTTAATTGAGACATATATTATTTTTTTTGCTGTGGATTAAAATAAAAAATATATCTTGTTAATTTGCACAAAGTTAATTAATTAAGTAATTTTTGAGAATATAACAATTTTGAAAATAATGTAGGTTTTATAAATATACAGGGTGATCCGAAATTCTCGCATTCGGAGTACAGGACATGATACTTTATGCTAAAAAAAACAACTTTTTCCTTTAGTAAAATTGTCCAGTAAGTAGTTTTTGCAGGAGAGCAGGTTGAAGCAGTTAACAAATAAGCGCAAAAATTATTTATCGGACGTAATTTTGCTAAAGAAAAAAGTTGTTTGTTTTAGCATAAAGTATCGTGTGCTGTACTCCGAATGCGAGAATTTCGGATCACTCTGTGTATTTATAAAACCTACATTATTTTCAAAATTGTTATATTCTCAAAAATTACTTAATTAATTAACTTTGTGCAAATTAACAAGATATATTTTTTATTTTAATCCACAGCAAAAAATAATTTTTTTATTCGTAATATTTTAATAAAATACTAAAACCGGATAAATAAATATAAATAAACAAAAATGTTTTGACAGGAGAAGGTAAAGATGTTCTGTAATAAATAAATCTTTTACATAATATTTGCATATTATAATTTACTTGTAATGTTATATTGATAGTTCCTTTTTTTTATATATTTTCAATTTTCAATCATTAATATGTTTCAAAAAATCAGTTTATATAGAAATAAATAAAGACATTTACTCCACGTTGCAGGTATTCTTTGATTTAATGACAGCAATAGCTGCTCGCAAGGCACAGGAAAACCAAGGAGATGGGAGTGAACGTAATAAGGAAACAAAGTGCTGCATCTTGCTATAACAAACATAAAATAATATGTAGCTTATGTTATGGAAGGTTCAACTCCTATATAATTGAAAGCTAAGCGTAAGAGAACTGTATTTATATAAAAATGAAAGTTTTCTGATACTTTACAGTGAATTGACGCTTTTAATCTTCGCTGTTCAAATATATTTAAAATTTAAGATATACTGTACAATTTATTCTAATATATTTATATGTATTATATATAATAATTGATATATATTTCAAAAACACATGGTACATTATACCTGTTTTCTATAAAACTATTTAAAAAATTTTAATAGCAATACATTTTATTACTTTCTAGTTTATATTATGTATTATGTATTATGTAATACATTTATATAAGATATGATATTTGAATTGAAAACAAAATTTATAACATTTATAATAGCATAAAATTACGAAAATACTTTCAAGATTATTTGCAATATTACTTATCTTTAGAGTGCTGAAACGTAAGTGATGTTGATATGAATATATTTGAGGAGATTGAAAATGTAAACGGTACATATAATGAAGATTATTTGTTTTGTTTTTCCGATTATGCAAATAATGTAATTACATTCATGTTGAAATAAAATAATTGCATTTTTAGTTGCCTTTTGCATTATTTATTTATAACCTTTAATGAGTTCAGCACTCTTTAATTTGTTAAAAAAATGATTTAAAATTATAGGGATGTGTGAATGGGATTCAATATTCTTTTGCATATTTTGATTATTGATATGATGAAAAAAGTTCAGATACATCAAAGTAGTCATAACACTGTAAAGTAACAAAAACTTATAATTTGTAAGCAATTTGTTTATATATTATATACATGCATATATATGTGTTTCACATAGTTTTAATATATCTGCTAAGTTTTATTTTATATAGTTATTTTTATCATAATTTTATAACGTAACAGTTTGATATCTCGAACGTGTGAGTGAATTTTATAATGGTTATAACACTTTAATAATTATTTTTCTTTGTTGTATACAATGTTGTATATTAAATTTTATTACATAAAAGTGGACGCATTTTGCGTGCAAATATAAAAAATTAGGTTTAAGTATATATAAATTATAGCATATATAAAATCAAGATAGGTTTTGTTAAAAAATTTGATTATTATATATATATAATTTCCAATTTATGTAGTAATAGATTATCAATGACTTATATATTTTACAGTAACATTTAGCATACATCGTTACTCGCACATCTGAAATATCAAGCCATAATGTAAAAAAAATTAATTTTTATGTTTAACATATTAGACTGTAATATTAGAGACTGATTGTATAATTAATTCACATAATTAATTAAGTCACTTGTTTAAAAACTTCTACCTCTATGAGGCGCATTTATGCAGATAAAATAACCAATTTTAATGCAGCTTTAACCGAAGAGAAAAGTGACTTGAGAATTGTATTACAGAATGATCATTAAAATTCACAGAATGCATATATTACAGTAGTTTTTTTATGAAAGAAAGGTGAAATATTTGTCTATTCAATTTTGATACTTTTGTACTGTTGACGTTGATTGTGCCTTTTAAGTGTTCACTGTTAATATAACGAGGTCAATCAAACTTAAAAATTCTTTAGAAGAATTTTATAACAGCATTTAGATTCAGATATTCATATATATACGACACATCTACACCACTACATCTATCTTTGCAATTCTATGTTTGATCTGCTATTTTGTCATACATTAAACGCCTTTTTATGTAATACCGATGTGATTTATTATTGAACATTATTTATCCATTCACTTATATCCAAAAGATTTTGTAATTAACCAATTCTAAGTAGAAGATATAGGTATATATACAGATATAGGTATATATTAAATTCTAATATTATTAAAAAACATATATTAAATATATTTTATATTATTATGATAAATGATTTTTAAATGACTTATTTTCACATTTCAATGATGAAATAGTCTTATACATAAGTAAATTACTTGTATTATATATTAATAAACAACGAAATACATATAACTAAAAGATTAAAAAGAAATTTTATTTTTATATATGAAAAATGTAATTAATTAGTTTATTTTAGCAAGTATTCTACTTATCGAAGAAATAATAAAAAATAAATTATTTGTAAAACAATTTTTGTTGAAAATAGTTATTTCATACATCAAAATGCTATTAAAAAAATTGGATCTAAACATAATAATTCTTCGTATAACATAAAATGTTTATTTATTGTAAAATATATTATTTAACAAATGCCAATGAATAAAAATGTAACTGACTGAATATAGTCAACGATTGATATTATTATAATAGATTTATTGTATCTTTATTAGAATAAATACATGAAAAAAATAAGTCTTTATTGAAATAATTGTACATAATTTAAATTTTGTCATGTAATATATTCATGTATATTTCTTTATTTAAAAAAATATTTTCATTTTACACGATGTTATATGTAAAATGACAGTGCTATGAAATGATTTTTCATGCATATGTGATATAGCAATGTTATATTTATTTATAATTGTTGGATTTATAGATCAAAATTTAAAATATCTTTTTTCCAAATTAATTATTTTTGCAGCAAATGCAAAGAAGCAACGAAACGTAGAAAATAGAACAAATAAAGTAGAATGATGCAGCAATACATAATTTTATAAAAACTCCATTTTGTAGGATACTTAATTTCACAATTTTATTTCCTTTGAAAAAGCATCCTATAAAAATTTAAAAAAATAATATATTTTCTTACATATACATTTAGACTTTCATGCGCAGAAGTAAAGAAATAGATCACTCTGAATGTTCTTTCTGAATTCATACCTTTATAATACACTTAGATGATCTTCGTCCGATTAACATTATAGAATAACAAATATGCAATAAATATTTCTTCTCTTATGTACATAGGGTTCCGAAATTGATGTAACATCTTGTCACATAAAATTACCGTGTAAACAGAATTTCTTTTGTAAATTTAACTCTCTATGTAGTACAAAGCACAAATAGTATTTCATTTTTATGTTAAATGAGGTTTTTTGCTTCCCTGTGTTTTTCATAAATGAAAATAAAATTATGAATTACTGTACATTTATCTTGCTTTGAGCAATCAATTACTTTGTAACGACAGTATTGAAGTTATAAGATAATATAGTTGAAGACTATTATTTTGAATTATGAGTGGTATCTATGCTCAGTGTATCAACGGCATTGAGACAATTGGAATGATTTATCCTCTCGGCTTATTAAAAGCTCAGAGGATTGTAGTAGAAAACATTTTTAATATATCTGTAATTTGTTGTCAATGTTTAAGCTCTTTCTCTCTAACGATATTCTATTCATTCCTTTTAAGATTATAATATATAACATCGACAATTAATCACAAAATAAATATTTTAACAATGCATTTATGATCAACACAAGTATATTATTATCAATAAAAGAGAATAAATGATGCTGTTAAATGCATCACAGTCTTCAATGGGAAACTTCGGGTTTTTGTGTGTATGCATATAA